CTCTGAAAAAACATCAAGGCAGCAGCATATGTATTACTAAGCGGATACATCTTCCAAAGCTGCACTTTATAGATGAACTTTTAAATCATGATTTTAACTGTATGAAATGGCTAAATATGAGTTAAATGAATCTAAACCTTAGAAGTAACGTGTTGATTTGACAAAGTTGTATCCGTAACAGCAATTTCCATTATGTTCTGTTCTGTAAAATCTCACTCTTGTCAGAGATCCCATCCTTCCCTCCGTCATTGGTTTCATTGTCCATAATTTATTTTCAGGATCTGCCCAACAATATGATCCACCAGGTTCCCATCAAGTCTCTGCCTCAGGAGTGGCTGTGGTGTGAGACCTGGTGTGACGACAGCACCAAGAAGAGCGCCAAGACGATAGACCTGGTAACAACAGTTTGTCTGTGTGTTGACGGCAGGGATAGCATCAGGATAAAGAACTCATAAGTTTTCATAAACCTGCAGCAGCACCCTGTAAAGTTCAGCAGTTTTAGAGAGAAGTGATGGGGTTTTCTAAATAATGTCATGCCTCCTGACAGCCACTAGAGGGCTGACAGGACATTACTTTGAGGAAGTAATTGAGTACTGTGAATGTGAATGAATTTCTTTTTGGATAACTGAAAGTGATTCGCATCTAAACACAGCAAACCATAAGATGAAAAGTAATTCCATATAAACCCTTATAAAGGGTTGATATTTGGGTAAACGGTGTTTAATACTGTGAAAAGTGTTACATTCTTGGTAAACATCAAATAATTTGAATAGTAGAGTAAGGCTTATTTTTAAAGATAATCTAAAACAAACAGTGGGTCTGTAAGAGACAAACATTATTTACTCCCTCTTAACTAAAATCCTTATAAATCTGCCATGTTCACACGAGAAAAACTCTGGTATCTCAGCACAGGAAGTCACAAATCAACCCTTCAGAATGAATTAAAAGCTACAAGTGAACTCTCTGTCCAGAGAGACTCCCTTGTCATTTTGGCAGGTGGGGGGGGGGTGTTGTTTTCACATAATTTGTAAATTAAAGATGTCTAAACCTTTGACTTTAACTTCATTCTTTAAAAAAATATGTAAACCAAGTACGAAAACCCACTACACACGCTCACATAACAGGATTGGTAGACAGACAGACTGAATTTTTCCCCGAAATTATAACAAGCATGATTTGTGCTTTCCCAAATAATGAATTAAGATTCAGGTATATCCCTACTAAATAGTAATACTGTTGTAGGCTCCTTTGACCACTGCCAACATCTTCTGGCTCTTACTATCTGAAACAGTACCACTGTTGATGGGCTTTCAGCGCATGCTGTTCTGTAGCATCATAATCTGTGATGTGTGCTGCTATGTTAGCGTCCATACTGGCATCTCGTCTTGCTCAGACAGTATTAGTGAAGAGGGGAAAAGGCAGGGGGGGGACTATGGCAGCGGAGAATGAAGAACTCTTACAACACAAAGAAGACACCAATGACCTACTAAACAAGCCAGAGACAGACTGATCTAAACTGCTGAAAACCAAATGTCAGCACAAGGCAATGATTAGATTTGTTAAACCAAGGATTTAAAGTACTGTGCAAACGTTTTGGGGGGGAAATTATTTAAAGTAAGAATGCTTTCAAAAATAGACATTTTAATAGATTATGTTTATGAATTAACAAAATGCAAAGTGAATGAACAGAAGACAAATCTAAATCAAATCAATATGGTTGACCATTGTCCAGATGGGAGAAGCTCAAACTCTCTGTACAGAGGACGGAGAGGAAACTCAAAAAGGACTTGAGTTTGTTCCCCTGTAGAAATTGTGAGACACAACAGGCAGTTTAAAACGCCACTGATCTTACTGACCACTTTAACAAAATGCAGCCTGTTCTTGTCATCTGCTGAGAGAAGTAATGACATGGCTTTAACAAGAAATAAGAGTATGAGCCGAAGAATGATAATGATTAGATTCTGACTGCCTGTGAACATCATAGTCGATGATTTTGTCTATTCCCTCTCATTTTTTTTCCCCCCTGATCTCAGTGCAACAACCCCATGACCAAGGAGCCCAAGCTGCAGGCCGCGGTGAGGATCGTGGCTGAGTGGGCCGATTATGACCAGGAGATTAAACGTCTACAGACCAGAGTCCAGGAGAGGGCGAACCACATAACAAAGCAGCAAAGCACAGGTACTGAACATACAGAGCAGACAGATACTTGCATGTGATTAAATAGAAACAACACACATCTGCTCTAACCTGCAACACATTTGTCAACTTGAGTACTAATTTTTCTGTCCTTTTTTGTCCTTGTCAGATGCTCACACAGAGTTGTGAGGATCCTGCAGTGGCTGTGATGAGGCGGTGAACTGGACTCTGTTTAAAGAGTCTGCTTCATGAAGAGGCTCCTCTCCTGCCCCGGGGCACTGCAGACAGACTGACCACAAACCAGTGCTAAATGGTTTAAACTGTTTTCTTCTTTTTTATAACGTATTAAGGTGGTCAGGTTTAAGAGGTTTTTCTCGTGAGCGTGTGTGCAAGTGGTGAGAATGTATTTTGTGAAATGAAAATATAAATTCTATTTGGGTTTTTTGTTGTTGTTGGTTTTCTTTCCCCTGTAATAGATGTCAGTCTGGAAGTTTGCACTGATTGGGATTCCGGTTCAGGCTGTGGTTGAAGCAAAAGGGAGGAGGACCCTAGAAAATCTCACTGCTGGCTAAGTTTGGGTTTGATCTCTTAACAAACCAAGCATTTGGTGTTGGGAGAGATTTCTTCTTGCGCACTGGAATAAAACAGTTTTGAAGCTAGCTGTTATGCCTTCTTCTAAATTGGTAAAGGCTACAGGCAGATTAGGTTTCTACTTCTATTTTACAAAGTTCATGTGAAGGTCTGGAAAATCATGCATCATTTGCCAGTTTTCAGGTCTAAGAATAGGGCTGCACAATGTGTTTGATGTCAGTATCATGCAAAAGGTTTACAAAAGCACATCCAAACACGATAAATACCAGGTGCTGGACCCAACTACATGTGGAAAAACTTATTGAAATCAGTATCATGACATTGATGTGTTTTTTTTGTAATCAATGTGGCAAATTAATGCAAAATAGCAGAGAAAACAATCAAATTGATCTTCAATTCAGTAGTAAGCTATGATTTCTCGTTATTCATTACATCAGATCACTTGCTTCAAACTAAATTTTTGGGGGGTTTTTTAGGACAATTTACTGGGAATTATGAATTTGTTGAAATTTGGAAACCAATATAAAATTATTGCCCAGCCTCCCATGTGATTTTTAGAAAAAGCTAAATTAAGCTCACACTATACAAATACACTATACATGATTTTTGTACAGTGGTGAATATGCCAGTCATATTTTTTTTAAGAATCAACTCAATCTAAATGTTTAGTGCTCATTCTAAACCAACAACACTTTATGGGAATGTGCATGGAATTTGGGAGTGAGTGGTAACACTCACCATCTGATATCTGACATGAAAAGTTAACCAAATCAGCTGGCTTCATTGAATCCCCAGTTTCTTGTGGAATATCAATATCACTATGACTCTCAGGGAAAGAAGTTTGAAGCTTGTGCGGGTTGCAGCTTGAGAGTACAAATCAGATGATAGCGGAGTTTGTGGTACTTAAGGGAAGAGCAGCCATGACGGGTGTTTAGCTGAAGAATATTTGATTTTCTGTTCATCGTGTTTTGGCTGTCAGATATTTTTGTTAAATAAAAAATTCCCAATAAAGAAGTTGTCCAGTGTATGGTCACAGATTTCTGTATTTTTTTGGTATTAGCCTAGATAGCATTTAGCTTATTAAGATATTTAGTTTGTGTGTATATACATGTGCTCTGTTGATTACCAACCAGGCTGGGGTACTTCTTTAGTGCCAGAGGGTACTTGTGGAGAGGCGCAATTCATTTATAAAAGTCTAATGGTTTAATTGTATTTTATATATATACACACACACACACACACACACACACACACACACACACACACATATGTATATATGTATATATATATATGTATGTATGTATGTGTAATGTATATATGTATGTGTGTATATGTATATGTGTGTATATATATATATATATATATATATATATA